TAAGCCATAATACTAATTAACTTAGTTCATTAAATGGTCAAGTAGAACTTAGTTTTGCTCAATTAACTCACGAGCAACGTATTCAAGAATCTTAACATGGTGCCATCTTGCACGCCCACACAATTTTTAGAGTTTACACCGAAAAAAATTACTCTTTATAAGAGAAGTCCCGGACTTTTTGCGACAGGTGGGATTCAGCTTACGGCACTTCTCATTCATTCCTATGGTATCCGTAAACGACGATTGAGTGTCGCACAACTCTGACTGAAATTCAGTGACATCAAGGCTGTAATGTGATTGGTTATTATGGTACATGTTGACCGTTACACTCAACTTCATCATACGTCCAAATTGTTTTTTGAAACTTTGGCCATGCTTAGCATGAGAACTCTTTAAACAGTGTAAATACCCCCTTTAAATAACTCCCCCTCACCCCCCTTTAACATTCTGTTTTCATATTTCAGTATATTTAAAATAAAACATGGGACAGGGATGCTATATGGCCATGTCTGTAAAGGAATTCACAAGTCTGATGGCCTAAAGATAGACCACGCTTTTCTCTCTTTCCTTCAATTTGGTGAGTTCATTGACTACAGATCAGTGTAGATCTATGTTTTGATACATTATTTTAACTTTTAACTGTTTTGTTGTCAAAAACAGTAATAAAGGCTGTATAAATAAAAGAGAATATTATGATAAGCTGCTCTTCATCTTTTAAACCGCAGGTCACCAGCACATCAAATAAAGGATACTGAATATGATTACATAACTTTGAAAAACAATTAAATTTAGTTTGACGTACTACACAGAACTTTTCAAATGTTCTGACGGTTGTACTCAGCACTATATTTCTTCGCAGCCCGGCGAAACATACCAATTTGAAAAACTTGTGGAACGCATAGTCGATATAAAAAGCTGGATGATGAGTAATTTCTTACTGCTAAATTCTGAAAAAACAGAGGTGTTAATTATAGGACCTAAAAGCTCTGCATATAATAACCTAAAACACTCTCTAAGACTTGATGGCTGCTCTGTCAATTCTTGGTCATCCGTTAGGAACCTAGGTGTGCTATTTGATAGCAATCTTTCCTTAGAAAGCCATGTTTCTAGCATGTGTAAAACTGCATTTTTCCATCTCAAAAATATATCTAGTCCCCCGACTGAGCCTGGTTTCTCCCAAGGTTTTTTCTCCATTCTGTCACCAATGGAGTTTTGGTTCCTTGCTGCTGTCGCCTCTGGCTTGCTTAGTTGGGGACAATCCTCCGGTTGCTCTCGTTAGGGGTCGCCACAGAGGAATTATCTGCACATTATTTGGCTTAGGTTTTATGACGGATGCCCTTCATGCCTGTCGGTTATATCCACAACAATGTAGTGTATACCCAAATACAAATGATATATGGTATCACTCAATATAAGGATATAATGATATATGAAATAACTCAATTTGGTACAGAGTCAAATAAAAGCTACTTTTACCCAATTCTCTGAATTTGGAAGTGTTTCTGATGCTCTTGATGAAAGAACCTTCTGCCCTAATGATATAGAAGTATATTTGGCTTGGTAAGTTGTTAGTTGTGACTCCTGTGAGACCTTGTTGGATCTCCATATGCACAACAAAGGTCACCTGGAACAAAAGCTAGCACAGAAGTGCAAAAGTGCACCATACACTCTCATGAAAAAAAAGGTACTAATATGTACCTTTAAGGTACCAATATGGACACTTTAGGTATAAGGTGTGCCTTTTAAAAAGGCCCCAGCGACAGCTTTTGTACCTTTTTTTCTGAGAGTGTAGTGATATACGGTATATACTAACGATGGTCTGATTAAAACAGAGACCTTAAAGTTAAAGTTGTTTGGCTTTGGATATGGTAAATTAGTCGGTGGTTAGTTTCCCTTTCTAAAATGTGCATGCATACATTTGGCAGGATATAATTCAGATATAATAATTCCTGTGTACATTGTGCAAAAACTAATCCACAAAGCAGTGTTAATTTTGACAGCAAATTCTGATTTAGTTTTAGTCATAGTCTTTTGACTAAAATGCCATTTAGTTTTAGTCTAGTTTTAGTCTGCTCAAATTGAATGGGTTTAGTTACAGTGTAATGCATTTATTAAGCATTTCTCTAAAATTTCCAAACTCATTATATAGGTTTGATATTAAGGTTTTATCATGATAGACACCGATTTAACTGCTGTGACACACAACATGCCTTTATGTTCAAATTAAATAAAACCACTTCTCATAAAGAACAAGAACATGGTCTACTTTTTAATGAAATACCAATGGTTATATAGGCTAATTATGCATTTTTTATAGCAACTTGTTTACCATATTCTTCATTCTTTCAAGCAGACATATTTATTTCTATAAATAAATTTAGATTAATCTTTAAGGCTACTAAAGTTTTTCTGATTTTCTGTCTTTCTGTTGTTGCTTGATTAACATCAATGACTCGGACAATAGCAACTAAATTAGGCTGCTATCCCTTTAAAGACTACTGCAGAGCTGCAATGGATGCAATGTACTGATACATGTTCACCCTACTGTTTACGTTCACTTCAGACATAATCAACTGTGTTTACATGAATACTCATCAAAACAGACAACTCGACATCATTTTGTGTGTAATTCTCGGTTAATGCGACGCGAAAGAGTACTCGCGCTCTTTGAGACACGCTTTGTGTGTATAGTGTCAGAAAACCGGCCCGAATTGAGTTCTCTTGCGTCGTCAGATTTATCCATATGTCTGCTCTTCTCTTTTTGAACGTTTTATGCGACGTGCAGCAAGTGTATTTTAGCTTATATTCACATAACCTCCGAACCACGCAGCAGATTCGTTCTGAATGATTCTCATCCCAAATCGTCCCTCCCCAACATTTTCGTCTCGTTTTTATTCGTTGACGAAAATGTCAACGCGAAAGAGTACTCGCGCTCTTTGAGACACGCTTTGTGTGTATAGTGTCAGAAAACCGGCCCGAATTGAGTTCTCTTGCGTCGTCAGATTTATCCATATGTCTGCTCTTCTCTTTTTGAACGTTTTATGCGACGTGCAGCAAGTGTATTTTAGCTTATATTCACATAACCTCTGAACCACGCAGCAGATTCGTTCTGAATGATTCTCATCCCAAATCGTCTCTCCCCAACATTTTCGTCTCGTTTTTATTCGTTGACGAAAATGTCAATAGATTTACGTCATAGTTTTTGTCATTCAAAAAGAGTTTTAGTTTGTTATCGGCTCGTTGTTAAAATGTCGTTGACGAAAATTATGACGAAAATTATTCGTCAACGAAATTAACACTGCTCCAAAGCAAGGGTTTATAGGGTTATATTTTGACAGCACAATGTACACAGGAATTATTATATCTGAATGATGTGAGATTGCTCATCAATAAAACTGATGAATTAAAAAAATAATAATTTTACAAATAAAAAATGTAGTGTAATATTATCTTGTGATGTTAAATATTAGATAATAAGTAGTGCTCCCTGAATTATTATTGAATCTTTCAGCAATGTTTTGTTTTTGCTCCTTGAGTGATTTGTCTAAGTGAATCACTTAAACATTAAGCACAGCCATCATTAGAAAGAAACAATAATGAAATACTGAAGTAAACAAACACATGTCCATAGTGCCAAACTTTAATCTAAAAAACAAAAACAAAACGTGATTTCAAGTATCAGTATAACTTTAAACACACAATAGTCACATTAAAGAAAAGAAAAGAAACATTTGGAAGAAATGGAAATGCTTCAAACAGGACATTCAGTAAATCCAGTGTACACTTCATCATTGCTTAACCCTGTAATAACCTGTGTAATAATAATACAATTCATTTGAATAAAATATTGACTGTTAACGTATCACACAAGAAAACATGACAGAAAAACAGGAACATGCAAGGAAATGCACATGGTATATGTATGAACTCTGTATCAGACAAATGGGACCAGTTTTACTGATGATTATGAAGTAATCACTTTTGTTTTACACATATGATTAGCACAGTTGTGGCAACTGATGGTTGCATTAATCATTTAAGATTAAGTTTTAAGAAAAATATTATCAGGTGATACATTTAGCATAGCATATTTAAGCCATTGTAACCATGTCTGTTTAACCAAATTCGAAATAAGAATATGCATACAGTTAAAAATGCTTTCTGTATATAGATTATACTAAAGCAAGAAAGAAACTATATGAGTGTTTCCAAATTAATGTTAATGTCAAATTAAAGTTAAATCTGTAACACTAGAACACATCTCATCTCTAAGGTGGCCGAGAAGTGCAAAACAAATCACAATTCTGAAAACAAAATAGCAAATTACAAACGCAAATGCAAGTCTAAAAAACTAAATAATTCAGGAAGCACAACAACAATTCAGAAAACATTATTACAAATTCGAAGACAAAATAACAAGTCAGAAAACACAACGACAAATCCGAAAAACAACGTGTTGTAGGCTTTTTGACGCGATCGACCTGGGTTCGATCCCGCCTTTTGCCAAACTTTTTTTTTCTCCATTTTCAAACCTCGTATCACATCGTAAAGGCATTTATTTTCACAATCGCGTCATAAAGTCGGTGAGACGCACTTATCCATCTGCAACACTGGAGCTGATGATTTACAACCACTTTTAACTAAATGTAAATAGACACTCCGTATTTTTTATTCTATAGTAAGGGCAATTCATACAATACATTTAAACTGAGCTACTTTAATTCCATCTCCGAACTTTCTACCACGACTCTGCTGTTCTTCGGCTGGTTCTTCCCTGTATACGTTGATTGACAGATGTCTCGTCCAGTCAGCGGTGAGTAATCCCAAACCAATGGCGCTGTCTCAAACTATACCTACCTCCGGTTTGTCTGATTTGTCTTTGTGTTTTCTGACTTAATTTGTTTTCAGATTTGTCGTTGTGTTTTCTGACTTGTTATTTTGTTTTCGAATTTGTCATTGTGTTTTCTGACTTGTTATAATGTTTTCTGAATTGTTGTTGTGTTTTCTGAATTGTTATTTTGTTTTCAGAATTGTGATTTGTTTTGCACTTCTCGGTCACCGTACATCTCTCTACTCAGAACAGTGTAATCTGAGGGGGTGTGTGAATTCTTTTCCTGTTCAATTCACTAAATTGAAACCTAGAAGTCTAAGACCGTGAAGTGATAAAATACATGTTACATGTCTTCTCTTGGGGTCCTGGAAATGTTCTGGGAGGTAGTGGGGGATTCAGTTTCAAAAACGTCATCTTCCATTCCTTCTTCAATTGGCTTCATAGTCGTGGATACTTTTGTCAGAGAAGTTTTCTCTGGAGAAAAAATAAATAAATGCAGTTACACATTAAGATTCAAATATAATGTTTTATAAAGTCACATGGAAACAAAACTTTCTATCATTCTCTTAAAGTTATTAACTGTATCCACAGCTCAACAGTACCATCACAGTAATGTGATTAAAATCATAATCATTAAAAATTACAACTTTGTTATTTACACTCTGTGCATGTTATATAAAATTAGCAGTACCCAAAATGTATGGGCTTGGAACCAGTTTCTGGAGCCATTTTCAGAGTCTTGTGGCTGAAGGTTCGGTCACACTACACTTTTTGTAATGTTTGAATTCTGCATTCCAAATGCGTTTGATGTGAAGACGTTGATCCAGATACGTCACTTTAAAGCTGCAGGTTTGCAGCATTGCAGGAAAGTGGAGTACATTGTATTTTTTACAATGATTGTATTACTCTTATATGCTGAATTTTTATTTTTAAAAAGGTGCCGCAGAAATTGACAATGTCATATTATGGCCGTTGTAGTATCCAAAGAAATTTTGCATGTCCAAAGTCTAGTGTGACCGCAGTGTGAAAGAAGTGTTTTTATTGTGACGTTGATTAATGTCTGACGTGCATTAGTCTGCAGTACATTAGTGTGCATACCCCTTTAATAATCTGCAAGATGTTTAAATCCTACTGTATCATAACTGATAAACAAATGTAAGGCCTCTAAATTATCAACATGATCAAATGTGCTGAAAAACCTGTTGTACACAATCTACTACATCATTTCTGCCATCTGATTGATAAGTTTATACTTTTTTAGCAAGTAAAAGGCCTCCTTCAATTTGTGATAAATGTGTATTTTTGCTGTGTAAAAATCTTTACTGATTTTTATAATGTAAGAATATAATTTACATTGTCAGTAATATGTCAGAATAAATACTGAGCTGAAGCAACTTAGGTTTACTTAATTATTCATACTTTTTTTTTTTTTTTATAGAAAAATCATATTAAAATGTCAGCGTTAACTATAATACATCAGGATTGTAAGGATTTTTATTTGTTCATCTCTCAATCGTCGTATTGCATTTCATGAGTTTTGATCTTAAAACTAAGAATTCAAATATAATTTTACTAATCATTCCTATATGTTGAATGACTAATTTTACTATCATATTATTGGGAGATATATAGAGGGACAACTGATATTTATATGCGTTTTATGCAAGTGTCTGCTGTACTCACTGGTCTCAAAGATATTCAAAGATCGCATTGATCTACATTACAAGCTATCAGAATTTCATCAAACTTTCATCATATAAATATCATTTATTCCCCCTCCTCGAATATTCTCCTATGTCGTATAGTATGGTACATGAGCCATAAAAGCATGATGAATCAAATATAATACTCAAAAACACATATGTAGACAATTTTTTAAGATTTTGTCTAACGGTTCAATAAAGTCTTCCCTTTAAAAACTAAAAAACTGACTAAATTGACATTTTGCATTGAAAATATGTGTGAATGTAAAAAGGGCTAAAAAGTATATATATATATTTTTTTTAAAGAACCTCTTTAAGACAGACATGAGAAGAGCTACAGTAAGAGCACACCAATAAAGTCTTCCCTTTAAAAACTAAAAAATTGACTAAATTGACATTTTGCATTGAAAATATGTGTGAATGTAAAAAGGGCTAAAAAGTATATATATATATTTTTTTTTAAAGAACCTCTTTAAGACAGACATGAGAAGAGCTACAGTAAGAGCACAAATCTGAAATAATATTTCGTGAGAGAGAGACAAGTATCTCTACACACTGAAGAACAAAAGGAAAGACCTTGCAACCCCCTCTCCCCTCCTTCTTAAACAAATAACCTAGTCAGAAAAGAAAAACCTTTTTCCCACTTTTCTAAATCTTTTTTATACACACACCGACACCCCACATACTTAATAGTCACATTCACATTCTAATCAGACTCAAGTTTTCAACAAATTTATCGCATAATATGTCATTCATTCATTCATTCACATAAAAAAATATGCACAAGCTATCAACACTCCTTCCTTCATAAGTCACAAGCTGAGGGTTTATGTGGGCCTCTTACTAGCCTTCAACACCTGTGGCCACAAATTGATACAAGCCACCTAATTTTGCCAATTAGCAGATTTTACATGACCTGAAGTTCAGACAGGAAACTCCAGATGGCAAGGGCTAATAAGTACTTGGCACAGAATATGCTAGTAATAACATTGTATACTAATGATGAGTGCTTTTGAAACACTGCTTCATGTAGCTTAAAACATTTTTTCCCCCCAGAGCAGAGATTCAGAGTGGCACATGAGTCATGTGGGTTCAGCAAAAAAAAAAAAAAAACACTGGTACTGCCTAGAAATCCTTGGATTGTATATATAACTATTAATTAAACTGAATTCCAAAAGGGGGTTATAAACTTAGGAGACAAAAGGGGTATGCAAACCTCAACTGTATGTATATAGAACTTGCAAAAACCCAACAGAGTGATCTGGAACCTGTTGCAAAACAAAGCAGCTAACTGTCCATTCTCCCATTGTTAATATATGACTATTTGTCAAATAAATAATTAAATGCATATGAAGAATTTATTTTTTATTTTTTTAAAAAGAGAGCGTGTAGAGTGATATGAAAGATATGAAACTATATACAGTACACTGATCAGCCACGACATTAAAACCATTGGCAGGTGTAGTAAATAACACAGATTATATTGTTACAATGGCACCTGGAGTGGGATATATTACGCAGCAAGTGAACAGTCAGTTCTTGAAGTTCACGTGAAGCAGGAAAAACAGGCAAGCAGATAAATCAGAGTGACTTTGACAAGTGCCAAGCAGTGATGGCTAGATGACTGAGTCAGAGCATCTCCAAAAGACCAAGTCTTGTGGGGTGTCCCGGTATACAGTGGGTAGTACCTACCAAAAGTGCTGCAAGGAAGGACAACCGGTGAACTGGCATCAGGGTCTCAGTGATGCACATGGGGTGCGAAGGCTAGCCCATCTGGTCTGATCACACAGAAGAGACACTGTAGCTTAAATTGCTGAAAAACTTAATGCTGGCCATGATATAAAGGTGTCAGAACACACAGCGCATGTCATGACTGGACCATGGAGCAATGTCTGGTCTGATGAATCACGTTTTCTTTTAGATCAGGTGGAGATGGCAGCAGGATACAATATGGGAAGAGGGCAGGCAGGCGAGCCAGTGATACACTCTGGGCAATGTTCTGCTGGGGAAGCTTTTGTCCTGGCATTCATGTGAATGTTACTTTGACACGTACCACCTACCAAAGGATTTTTGCAGATCACATACACCCCTTCATGGCAATGATGTTCCCTGATGTCAGTGGATTTATTCAGAAGGATAATGCACCCTAGAACACTGCAAAAATCGTTCAGGAATGGTTTGAGGAGCATGACCTCATGGCCTCCAAATTCTCCAGATCTCAATCTGATTGAGCATCCACCCTTGGGCCAAACTTTTCCTGTTGCTTAACCATTCTATTCCGTGCCGGAATAATTTCCCATTGTGGTGCTGTTAACAGAGCTCTTTGGAATGTAATACAAATGTGTCAGTCATTGTCTTGGTAATGCAAGTGTTTACAGATGGTATAAGATGTAGATAGTGGCAGCATTATGGAAAATTATCAGATATTTTACTTTGCTCAAATAGCATTTTCTTTGCTCAAAAAGCATGCTTGGCCAGCTATTAGCCTAAGTGAAACTGGTAGCCAGACAACAAACAAGTAACCAGTCCACTTCCAGGCCGAGAAAGCTTTGCAATTGTGCCGTGCCAAACCAAGTTCAAGTGGAAATATAACTGTAAGCATTCCTTACCGTTCTTAGAACTGTTCAGGCAGACAGTGAAAAAACTACTTGTGGGATGTGCTGGACCAACAAACCCAACACAAGATGGCCTAACCTTGCAACTGGCAGGACTTAAAGGATCTGGCTAATGTGCCAGATCCATTAAGTACCACAGCACAGATTTAGAGGTCTTGTGCCTTGATGCATCTGAGCTGTTTTGGCAACATGAGGGGGACCTACATGATATTAGGTAGGCGGTTTTGGCTGATCAGTGTACATAACATATACAGTGTAGTAGCTCATTAATTGATCTGATGGATTTAGTTGAAAATTGTATGGTGACATGTTTTATGGCATGAAAGTTACGGACAAACTCATCAAATGCAGTTTTTTTGGATGTTAAAGGTTAACTTCATAACAGGTCTGGTTATCAGAAGTCACTTGTTTTGACCACTAGAAGGGAATTAATCTACTTTCTGGTTATGTTCAAAATGACGATTTTTGTTGGGGTTGAGGAAGAGAAAGATAGTGAGAAAAAAATAAACCATCTTACACCCCATCAGGCCCGAACTGAGGACACAGCTAGAGAAGAAACAGGAGGAGAGAACATCAGGGATACACCCAATATTAATAGTTTGAAATCACACCAATGTATTGTGCAATACCACAACTTTAGTACCCTATTAGCAACTCACACTGGAACAGATGAAGTTCAGAGTGGAGATGAAGAATGGAAATTAGACATGTCTTGACGTTTTAAATAAAGTTAGAAGAGACAGAGCTGAGAGAGATGTGTGTTCTGGTTTATATCAGCATTTGTGGAGTCTAATATCGGAGCATACATGGCCTATTGAGTAAATTGGTTAGTGCTTGAAATACAGCTTAGCACTGACTGATTAGTGAAAGATACTCAGGTCAAGAAAAGTCTATAGACTTACGGAGTGATGACCCAGTTGACCCGCCTCTCAGGATCTGGTTGAGCACATCGTCTGTGTCACTGGTGCTAGCCATGCTGTTCCTCATCTGCATCATTGACAGCTGAGAACATAGGCTTGGCTGACGGTCCATTTTCTTCACAGCCTATGGTTCAATCATCATAATTACTACCACATGATGTCCTTAGTAAAAACTGGTAATGTCATTCAGTTGAGTCATTACAATTTTTTTTCCGTAAATTACTGAATCTTTGAAGTCAAATAAGTTGCGAATCATCTTCAAAGAATAGACAAGAACAGTGTTTGGAACTCCTACTCATTCTTAATCATTACTATTTTCCATGTTTTATTCATCAGAATTGTGAAATAACACAAATGGGAATTAAATGGGAATTATGTAGCCATACCAATCCATTCCCTCAACCAACTTCCATCCTGGGATGTTAACAAGTAGTACTGAAGGTCACCCATGTATACAAGACAACTGGATTGGTTTTCCTTCACTGTCCAAACATGTATTAGATTCTGAATTTAGTTAAAAATATATACGTATGCATACTTTTTCTACAAATATATCGAGCTCAGTCATGCAAGCAGGGTTATCATACGTCCTCTTTGTCCTGGACCGGTCCTGACTAAAATGTACAGGTTTTGGCTTTGTTTTCCATTTGGCGTGCTCTCTACAGCCTTCATCCATACTTGCACACCATGATTGAGCAATTATGTACAATACCTGCATGATATTTCTCAAATAGCTTTTCAGTCATTACCTTCAGCAAGTATGAAAACAATAGGAAAACAAAGTCAAAACCCAGACAATTTAGGCAGTTTATAAATCCTGGCTGAAACATATCCTGTCCTGACTAGCCTCTGATAATTCTGCAGCCAATTAGATTGCTTGCTATATTTCCATAACACCCGATGTACTTGCTACATCGCTAGAAGAATGGCATCTACACTAATATTAGTCTGTTTCTCTCTTATTCCGAGGTCACCGTAGCCACCAGATCCAGTCTGTATCCAGATCAGATGGTCACTGCAGTCACCCGGATCGAGTACATATTCAGACCAGATGGTGGATCAGCACCTAGAAAGGACCTCTACAGCCCTAAAAGACAGCGGAGACCAGGACAACTAGATGAGCCCCAGATACAGATCCCCAGTAAAGACCTTGTCTCAGACAGCCCACAGACCACAGGACAAGACCACAGGAGCCAGTTGAGTCCTCTGCACAATGTGACTTTGCTGCAGCCTGGAGTTGAACTGCTGGTTTCGTCTGGTGAGAGGAGAACTAGCCCCCCGACTGAGCCTGGCTTCTCCCAAGGTTTTTTCTCCATTCTGTCACAGATGGAGTTTTGGTTCCTTGCCGCTGTCGCCTCTGGCTTGCTTAGTTGGGGACACTTCATTTCCAGCGATATCGTTGACTTGATTGCACAGATACTATTTAAACTGAACTGAGCTGGATGATAACATCACTGAATTCAATGATGAACTGCCTTTAACTGAAAAATGTGTGTTTACTATTGTCACTTTGCATTATTGACACTATTTTCCTAATTAATGCTGTTCAGTTGCTTTGACACAATCTGTATTGTTAAAAGCGCTATATAAATAAAGGTGACTTGACTTGACTTGCTCAACATTTAAATTGTCTGTTGACACCCTCCACCTCCCTCAGCACCGCTTGGTATACAATAAAGGGATTTATGTATGCCTATTCAAGCAGCAGGATATCTTACATGCCCACAGCAGAGTGTATGTGTATTTATGCAGTAGCAGCTGTGGTGTACATGGCAGATCTACTCTGCCAAGACCAAATACATTAACATTGTCATATTCATTAATTAACTGCTATGTTCTTACCTTGTCACTCAGGGTTGGATCATTGAGAGAGTAAAGCTTGTTGGTGATGTCTTTGCCAATGAGGTACCTGAACACCTCGTTCAGAAAAGACTCTGACTCCAGGAAGTAAGTCAGACGCTCTCTAGACCAGCACAGGAGCTTGCAGTTTTCCTCAGCAGTGATCGTCACCTGTGTATTCATGTGCATGTGACAGATACATGTAAATGGTGTGTATTAGTTTACTCTTCCACAAAATGACCAGAAAGTTCTGGAATGTGACATTTTCTTTCTTGAGATGGCTCCCGTCATACGAATTAAACAAACACAGAAAGCACAGACAGAAAAAAACTCTGACTAAATCCAGAAGAACTGTGGCAACATCCGAGTCTGACATTCTGAAGTTTTCAAGCTGATGGGGAGATGGACAGAAAGTGAACTGTTAGAACCACCACATTCATAAACAAATACATTTGAATTGCAAGTATTTCTCTTAAGTGAATAGCCTACATATCTGGATATACATGAACATATAGGCTAGCCACTACTGTCAGAAATCAGAAACCGAAATGCGCAAACATCTTTCGGGGAGATTTACAAGCCCAGAAACGCAGTCACTGACCTCAATAAACTTTCTATAGAACCTTCATGCTAATCTTATAAGAGGTTATTTTAAAATGTCATTATAGCCTGTTAATTTAAACATTTTCTACTCACCGGTGTTGTCGATTCGAGCTCTAATGTGCGCGTCCTGGAGGAATGTTAAGGCAGAAGATAACAGACTGATAGCTGAGCTGAGAGCTGCAGTGTGCGAGGAGCGCATTCCAGCCAGATGACAGGCATTGACTTAAAATGGGCACAAACCAAGCGGCCACTCCTCTGCGCACATATGCGACACCACCACTAGAGAGAGACATTCATGATCACAAGGCGTCTGTTACTTGGGTTTTGTTGTCAATAGACTGGTCTGACATGGAGCTGCACACTAAAATATGCCCTTAATTGTAGGCGAATAAAACTAAATTATGGAAGGGCGCCGAGATCAATTTTCATCTGGCAGATATGTTGTTCATCAGCCAAATTTGTAGGCTAGGATATGTGTAAATGCCCACATTAAAACTCACTGCATGCATTGTGCAGCTCCTAAATGAGACGACTGGACGGATAGCCTATATCGTGCACTGGTTCAACTTGTAATTGTATATAATAGTGTCTCTACGGTTGCCAAGAAGTGCAAAACAAATCACAATTCTGAAAACAAAATAACAAATTACAAACGCAAATGCAAGTCTAAAAAACAAATAACAATTCAGAAAACACAACAACAATTCAGAAAACATTATAACAAGTCAGAAAACACAATGACAAGTTTGAAAACAAAATAGCAAGTCAGAAAACATAACGACAAATCTGAAAACAAATTAACAAGCCAGAAAACACAACGACAAATATCTGCACTTCAGTATTGTAGTACATTATAAAACAGTATGCAATAATAACGTATTGAGTGTAAATGATAATTTTTATTTTAATTATTAAATGGATGCCACCTTATTGGTACAATAAAGCCCTCCCTTCACCTACCCTAGCCCTACCCGATACTTTATTTTCAACTTTTTGATTATTTCCTTAATTTTTATTGAAAATAAATGCCTTTACGATGTGATACGAGATTTGAAAAGGGAGGAAAAAAAATTTCGGCAAAAGGCGGGATCGAACCCGGGTGATCACGTCAAAAAGCCAACGACACGCGCTTATCCATCTATGCCACTGGAGCTGATGTGTTACAGCCACTTTTAACAAAAAATTTTATTCCATAGTGAGGTCAATTTATACAATACATTTAAACTGAGCTACTTTAATACCATCTCCGAACTTTCTACCAGGACTCTGCTGTTCTTCGGC